AACTCCTCCTGGTCTTTGCTTGTAGCATCATGTAATTCATTAAGTTTGTCTTTCATCCATTAGATATATTCAGTTGTTCCTCTTTTAAATTCTGTGTCAGAATGTTCCATGAGACTTTCTGCTTTCAGGGTATCGACTGTTATTATGTCACCCTTTGTGAGTGACATCTTTCTCTGCTCTTGTGTATTGTGTGGGATAGTTTGCTTTCTTTGAGACATTGGTATGTGTTCTTGATCTGAAGACAATGCTCTTGAGATCAGATCGGCAGCTACTGAACTTGTGCGTTTTTCTGACTTGCTGACTTCAGAAAAATGTCAGTTCAGCACCTACTAGGGCAATCTCTTGTTGCTAAAACAGGTCAAGGTGCTCCCGTTTAAAGGCAAGTTGATTGCCCAGACGTGTAGGCACTGGTGTGGAGCCAAATGGGGTGAGGCAGGTTGGGTGATCGCAAGGGCAGGTCAATCACTTGGAGGACCTTGTTCAAACCTCTGCTGTCTCAGTATGCTAACGACTGGGGTCCTTACTCAAATTCCTGCTGTCCGTTTCCTACCCAGTGGTTTTCTCAGTGTTCCCTGCCTGGTGACACTTACGCAGGTGCCCTCTCACAACAGCCCCTGCTCCAGCAGGGTCCTGGATCTGACAGGATCCGAAAAGTCAGGGTCAAATTCCCACCAACCCACTAGCCTCTGGCTGGTCTGCAGAGTTCACAGAAGCCAGCTGGCTGGCTCGTTTTGGGCAGTTGGTGTAGGCCAATCACTCTATCTTCTTCAGTTACCTCTTCTGTTGTTATAAATTTTCCCCCTTCACTACTGCAAATCAATATTTAATGTTTTCCCCTTCAGTTCTTCAAGTTGAGAGATGCTTAACATAATCTTTCCTATTATAACTTTTCTAAATCTGAGTCTTTGCACTTTTTATTATAATACTTTATCTTCTTCAGCCACTTCTTGAAATCTTTTACTGCATTGTTTCTTTTAAATTCTCTACCTTCCAGAGAAAATTTCAGGACTCTTCTGACATTTATGTTGGTCTTTACTTTCTGTCCTGTCTCTCTTAGTACCTTTTGAGTTCTTTATATGTCATGTCCTTGTTGTTATCCCAAAATTCACCTGGTTTTCCATCATTCATGTTCAGTAAGTCATAGATAATCTCCACATTCAAGTGGGATAGACTTAAAGTTGTATCTTGGTGCTTGTGGACTTGTTTTCTTTTTCTTTAACTTCAATTTGAACTTGCTTACGAGTGATTAGTAATTCGTTCCACAGCTGGCCTCAACCTTGTTCTGACTAAATACCATCTCTTTCCACAGATATAGTCAATTTGATTTCTTTGTTTTCCTTTTGTCTGGGTAATTGTAAAGTTATCATTTATGTTATTGAAAAAAGCTATCTGCATCAAAATAAATCATCAGTCTTGCAAAATTCTATCATGTCATCTCCAAGACCATATTTTCCAACTATTTCTATCACCAAAGCCATATTTTCCATCTACTAATCTCTTTGTTTCCAATTATAATTATTATTTTTAATATAGTGACTGTTGATTGAATCCCAAAGACACTTTCTGAGCAATATGCACTCTTGGGCACACTAGGCAGAGGTTGGGAAGTCCCCAGACCTTTGTCTTCATGGCCTGACTCTAGTCTTAGAAGTCTGAGTTACCATCTTGTCCCAGCTCTCCTGCACTCCCGGGCAGTGGTGCCCTCATCCAGGGACCATATGTGGTTTAGGGGCCAAGTCTCTACCTACTTCTGTGGCCATGTCTGATTACCTTCCCCATCCCTCTCCCTATAGGTGCCCATCTATAGCGATCAGCTGGAAGCCAAGTGCACAGTCTCTGAGCTAGTGTATGCCTTGGGTTTCACGCCAGTTGACATGGGGTCCCTGGTGTTGGCAAGGGAGGTGGAGGCCATTCCCCTGCCTGACTGGAAGGTCTCCACCCTCCTGGCACTCAGGCTGTTTGTCTGCTTCTATGTCTGCAACTTTGTGTGGAATGTGCTGGAGTGCTATATGAAAAAGTACAATAACAAGTTCTGCTACAAGTCCCAGTGTCTGTGGTCAACACAATACTGCCCTGTGTGGCCTATGTACTGCTCTCGCTGGTCTAGCTGGCCAGAGTGCTCACGGCTGTCCTACAGCTATGGTGTGGCACCAAGGACCTGTGTTTCCCAGACTGGCTGCTGTGCCCTAAGCAGATTGGACTTCTAAACTTCTGTGTAGCCCTACATGCACTCTACAGCTTCTGCCTGCCTCTGTGCTGCTCCCACCAGTACCATCTCACCAACCAGGCCATCAAGCAGGTGGGCCAGGCACCTTCTTCTCACAAGGTGCTGGGGGAGGCAGCCAGCACCCAGTCACTCTGTGGAAGTCTGCCCTTCCCTCCCCACTAAGTGTTGGGGGTGGGAGGACAGCCAGTACTCAGTCACTCCGTCGAAGTCTTGCCCTCTCTCCCTGCTAGGTGCTGGGGGTGACATAGGGAGATAGCTAGCACCCAGTCACTCCATGGAAGTCTGTCCCTCCCTCCCTGCTGAGAAGGGTGTGGGGAGTGGGGAGCCAGTACCCTGCCACTCCATCAAAGTCTCCAGGTTCTATTCTGATAGGTCAGGCCCTTGCCTTAAAGTCCAGTATCAGTTAACCAAACAAATGCATATGAGATCCCACCCTCTTGGGGACAGGTAGAGGGGACTTCAAATAAGTGAACATTTCAAAGGTACATTCAGAGCGTGTTTAGGTCCTGAGTGCTGAGAGTAAAAATAAAATGGTAGTGGAAAGGAGTACATTTCCAAAGGATAGTTGGGAAAGCCCTTTCTGAGTAGATGGCTTCTAAGCAAAGACATGATGGAAAGGAGAGTATGCGTATATCTAGCAGGTGGAGGAGTATTTCAGGCCAGGGAGGAGCACATGCAAAGGTCCTGGAGTGACAATGTGCATTTCTAAAAAGAGCCAGCTTGCTTAGCAGAAGCTATGTGGTTACCAGAGTGCTGATACAGGTGAGATATGCTTCCCAGGATGAGATGGGTCCAGGGTCTTAGACTCCCCTCTCCACTAACAGTTGAGGTAAGGAAGAAAGTCATGCCCTCTCCCTCTCAGAGAACATACTATTGTTTCCCCTCCCCCAGCATTCTCTATACCCTCTGCCCACCTGTTATGTTAATCTGCTTTACCCTGTAGATTCTAGGGCACAGAGGTGCATACAAATGAATTTCCCTAGTTCCAAACCATTTAGGAATGCTGGCCCTGGTGAGGTTGCCAGGCAACCATCACTCCTACAAAGCCTGGTCTTTCACAAGGGTTTATCTGGTTCTTTGGAGATGCATGGGTCCGGTCAGTAGGTAGAACCAGGGCTGGGGAGTGTATAACAAGGTGAGAGGTGACTGGAAGGTGCAGGGGCTTAGCAGAGTCACCCAAAGTGATGATATGTGTGGAGGCCCAAGATTGGAGGAAAGAGTGGCCCAAGCCTGGAGATATTCAAGCAGATGCTGACAAATGTCTGTCACCACACATCTGTGGGGTCAGTCAGGCCTGTGCATTCTAAGACTTTGGACATGTGAGGCTGCTCTGTATCCTGTCCTGTAACATCCCTCAGGCAGTTCCTCTGTAATGTGTAATTTTCCTGGCCTGCTTTTTGCTGCCTCTCCATTTGACCTGCTTCCAGGCCACTGACCTAGACCTTTTGAGTAAGCAGAGCTTGTTAGCGAGGGCACGGAATGCCCATTCTTCAAGAGTTTACTTAGGTCTGCAGATTTAAAGAGAGAACTACTCCAGCTGTGAAGACCCTCGAGGCCATGTTTATTAGCCATATTACTTCCAAAAGTAACCAGTATAGCACTTTTCAATTAGCCTGTGTGGCTACCTAGAAATACATACATTTCAAGGTCAAGATTTAAAAAAAAACATTACTCTACCTTTTGTTTTCCTCTCCCTCAGCTCAAATCTGATCTGCAGACAGTGGCCACAGAGAACTTAGCACAGCTCACATCTCACCTAGTTGGTGCATCTATCCCTTGTGCTCAGGCCACATCTTCTCCATGCCTCCTGTAACCTGTCACTTCCAAGTCCCATACTGTCCCTGAGTGGGGAGACCTCTCTATCTAGGCTGTCCCTGGCCTGGAGCACTCACCCTGAGAAATCTTGACAGCTTGGTGGGCCCTTCTTCCTCCTTCAGAACTCTGCCTCTGTTAAGCTGGTCTTGACTGTTTCCATGCCCACAACAACTTTTATGCATGCTTCTTTCATTTTTCTGCTACTTCAACTCAAATCACTTACTGGCATCTCTTTCCTCTGCCCCACACCAAGTGCCCTGTTGATTGTCACTACATGTCCATGCAAGGACAGCTCTGGAGTTAGCCAGTGCCAGTCACCTCTGCAGAAGCACCCGCTGAACACAGCTCAGAGCTGACTCTTGGGATAAGAACCAGTCCAATTGCTTCTCTACCCCTGACTGCCTGCCTCAGACAGCAGCATTTGCAGCCATTTACTAAGTGCTTATTGTGAGACAGTCACAAGCTGCTAATTACACATACATCGTCCTTTTATCCCTGTAAAAAACACAGAGTGAGTGTGAGACAGCAGTGCACTGGCCAGAAGAGAGCCTGCCCAAGGGCTCAGTGATACCCCTGGTGATACAGTCAGCTCCAAAGTCTAGGACCAAAAAGCTCTTCCTCCCCTGCTACAGCCCCTTCTCCGTCCCATCTTCCCACTGCTCTGGATTGAGTTGGTATTTGGTGCCCCTCACTTCCAGCCACTACCTTCCACAGGGTATGGAGATGGACTGAAGTTGGCCCTCTACCACTGTTCTTCACCACCGAGCCTGTATGTCACACATAACAACTGTTCTTCCCAAAGACAGCCAGCTGGTCAGCTCTACACTACCGCATGGAACAGTGGCATCTACTTTTCATCACTTGGCATTGCTCATGTGGCGCTGAGGGCCCTTTCCAGACAGCTGCTGTCAGCCTGACTCCTACCCTCTGTGTGCTGGAGGGTTTCAATGACAATTTTTACAGAAGTAAATCCCAAATATTTTGGGTTACTTCTGGGTAGACTCAAACCTCCAACCTTTCAGTCAGCAGCCAAGCCTATTAACATTTTCATCCCCCAGGGACTCTGCAGGGACTCCATTGTCCTCTAAACTCCCTACCATCCAGAGGCCCTCTGCCCACGTCACCCCACCCTTCTTAGGCCCCTCCAGAGGGAGAACACAAGACATTGTGCAAGCAAATGCCATGATGTGTGCATAATCATCTATGCTTTGACTTGTGGTGTAAATGGCTTCATCATGCAAAATACAGAACAGAATTACTAATGTCATGTATTTGAAGAACAGACAACTTGTAACAAGCAGATGACCTACTTGGCAGTAGTTTTGAATATGGTGGAGGTGTGAGTAAGAATTATCTGGGCATAGTCAGGGAGGAAACCCAACTACTTGTTGCAAAGTAATAGCATCCCCCACCCTCTGCCTCTTCCCAGTGCACAAGCAAAGCCATAGGTATTAGAGGTGACCCCTTCACCTCTCTCAGGTGGAGAAATCAGCTCTCCAGAGATGGAGTTTCACACCCCCCCCACACACATACACACACACGACCAGTGGTCAGGACAAATGGAGCCAACTCACCTAAAATGGATAGAAGTGATTTCTTTTCCTTCAGATGCAGTTTTCCCTCTGGCCTTTGCAGAGAAACATCATGTGACAGGTCAGCAACAGACCCTCAACCAGATGGATGAACACAGTGACAGTAGACTCAAGCATATCAGAGATCATGGGGATGTCACAGGATAAGCTTCAGATCGACTGTAGTTGTAGTCAACTCAACAAACATAACAACAAATGCACAGATAGTACCCAAGAGATGATATTCTCTCAGTTTCCTTCAATTTTTTTTCTCATAAACTTTTCAAACATTTTTGCTCAGCCCACTATAACTGAGCTTCTGTTCTTTTTTTTTTTTTCTTGTTGAAATAGTTTCTCAAAACTGCATGAGTCATTCTGTTTTTCGAGGAGAGACCTACCACCTCGAGCATAACTTCTCTTCTGATGGGAATTCTGTTTTGTTTGGCTGTGGAATTAAAGGGCAAGTGCATCATGCCAAGTCCAAAGAGCCCTCATGCCAAGTCCAAGGAGCCCTCCTGCCTGTTCTGACCAGGCAGTGAGGCCACAAGAAGAAGGCTAGATGATAATTCTTTCTGGGCCTGGACTATGCAAATGTGTGATACCAGGTCTACCCTGGGGCCAGTAGACAGGGCTCCCTGATTTGTCCATTTCTGGATCTTCGTGGGACCTTGTATGATGTAAACATTTAACCTACTGTGCTGCTAACCCTAAAGTTGGAAGTTTGAGCATATCAAGAGACACCTTGCATGAAAGGCCTGGTGGTCTACTTCTGAAACCTAACATTTAAAACCCTACATAGGTCACAGAGAATAGGATACTGAGGAATAAATTCAGCCAGTGATGTAAAAGCCATGCAAAATTACAACGTACTTTTGAAAGAAATTAAAGAACACTTAAATGGAAAGATGTTCTAGGTTTATGGACTGGAAGATTTAATGTTAAGAATCCTGGAATTCTAAAAAGTTGGTAGCATAAACCACCATTGTTCTGTTTCGCCGCCATAAATTCAATATGGATATCATACTTAGCCTTGAATTGAAAAGCAGAGGAAAGTAGTGGGGAACTGCAGACAAGAAAGAATCAACAAATCAATGACCTGTAGCATGTGATAGGAAAAGCAGTCTCCACTGTCCCTACCCTACCTGCAGCCCCCAGTCAGCTACTGTGAACTGGAGAAGTGGCCCCAGAAAGGGCCTGTCTCTATAAGCACTACACTTGCCTGTACCAAGTTTCTATTTCAAAATCGAGAAGTCAGTCCTCCCTGGAGACTGTGTGTGGGGCACCAGCACCTCCTCCATACAGGCCCAGCCTTCAAGGCCTTCTGTAGTGTCAGATCTCAGTCAACACTGCTTACCTCTCTGTGTGCCCAAGGCTGACCTTCCTTGGAGGCCTGTATAACATCAGGCACTGTCACTTGCAGGCCTGCTGTGAACTGTTAGAAGCCCTGCTATAGGCAGTACTCTGCTTGTCTTCTGCATACCCCAGCCTGCCCTCTGCAGCCAACAGAACAGACCTCCCTGGGACTGGTAGGGTTCCTCTGCCCCACTTCTCTTTGGTGTTGAGGACTGATGATTGAGGCTGTAGCATGTTAGGAAGTACGAGTCTTGAGTGACAGCTTCAACAGCCAGCAGCCTGCTGGGAGGAACTCTGCGGGGATCTGACCAGAACGGAACTCTCTCTCTCCCT